GAGCACATCACCTGCGATCTGAGCAGGCTGATGAGGGCATCTCTGATGTGAAGAGATGCTTGCATTTAAAAGTTGTTCTCTCACCAAACACTTCCTCAAAAAAAACCCCACAAACCAACCCAAAATCAAAACAACCCCAACCCCTTCAGGGCTGCGGTGTCTGATTTAGGGGAAAACCAGTGCAAGCTAAAGCTTGACCCCAACAGTTTGAGAAGTTCCTGGTAGAGAAGATAAAAACTGTGCTGTTGTGCTGCTCAGCTAGTATGCTGCTTATAGTGGCAATGACTGCATCTGAGGGCTCAGGGAAAGTATGTGCAGATCTTTCCCCTTGGTTTGCCTGCACAGCAAGGCACAGACCCATTTTTCAGGAGAAAACCTGAATCTTTGTTCTTTGTTGCCCCACTAAACTCTTCTGTAACCTTGTCTTGCTGTTTTCCAAACCTGTCAAGAGCTTTGACACACTGCAGCAACAAAATCTGCAGCTTAAGAGGGATTGTTTGCAAGCATGTGATCAGGTTTGGGATGATCCTGCAGTCCCTAGGATGTACAACCATTCTACACACTGTTCAATCAAATCAAAATGGTACATACTAAATATTCCAGATACAGCATTTGTTTTGGGTTTGCAGCCCAAAATACAGCAAAATTATGTATTTTTTGGCTTCTGGAAGTGCAAAATGACTCACGGGTGGTTGGAGGGGGTTTCAGTATTTTTGTGGCTTCCCACTGGGCACTCGCAGTCCCTTTTTCTAGTCATTATGCCCTCTGAAACAGGAGGAAATTTCTACAAGAGCACCTGAACAACCATGTGGCATTACATACTTGGGCAACCTGTCAGCTGCTGGGGTGGCTTTCTGGGTCAGCGGCAGCTGGAAGGGTGAACATGGAGGAGAAATGTGCTATGGGACTTTGCCATATGCAGGGAGCCGAACAGCCAGTGGGTGGCTCTGCAGAAGACAACACTGTCAGGGTTAGCATGGCGGCTAGGCCCTCCTTCTTGCACAAGGCTAATGAGCATGCTTAGCAGTGTACAGCTTCGGAAAGGCAACAACGCAGTAGTTACTGGAAACCCAGAGATGTGTTTGCTTTTAGAAGGGGATTTTGAGGCATTTATTATCTCTGCAGCATTGTGCAGCCACCTTGTAGCACTCTATTTAAAATTAGGCTCTTTATTTGGAGCGTTTTTTAAAAACATGTGATACATTTCTGGTCTGGCCTGGTTTTCTTCTTCATACTCTTCTGCTTGTTGACTACTTAGTTTCTTTTTCTCTTTGTACATTTAAACTCATAGTTTGAGGAAACACGCAACCTAGAAAGCTACTAAAATAAGCTTTTCCTGTGGACCACCAAGTGCATTGAGCCTATTGTTGCAGTAGTACTGATGCACTGATCCAAAAATAATGATGAATAGTATCACCAGCAGAAAGAAAGCTGGAAAATAGAGACTGTATTTTTTAAAAATACCTCTTAATTGCTCTAGCCTGAGCAACTGGCTGGGATCTTAGACAAAATAAGAAGAGAATTCTTGTTGCAGGTACTCTTGGATGTGGTCTACACTTGCTTGGGCTGGCAGGGCTTGGCAGGGCCTGACAGTGCTCTGTGGGAGAGGTCAGGAGCGAAATGCCCTGCTGATGCACAGGGAGTGCCTGGCTTCTGCCAGGGAAGGGTGGAGGGCAGGCTCCAAGCAAAAGTGATCCTCAGAAACTGCATACACGTGAGATAGCTCAGCATGAAATTGTCCTTACACATAGAGGACAAGACAAACTGAACCGAGCCCTGCTGCTAAACAGGGGGTGTAACGGTGTCCTTCTTTCTGCTCATTTGTTTCCTGGATGTAAGAGGCCTGTCTTGGCTGTAGTTGTGAATTAATATAATTTTGGAAAAAGTCCTAACCCTAATGACAAGAAGTCCTTCACCTGCATTTGTCTACCACAACTGTGACAAGCAGAGAACATGTTCTTCACGGCTTTGAGTATGATGACTGGCTTTGAGCGCTAAAAACCACACAGATCCTGTGCAGGCAAATACATGCTGGTAGGAGCAGAAAACCTAATCCAAGGTAGTCACTATTTGAAATTTTCTTCGAAGGAGTGTGAGAAGAGGAGGTGACATTTTAAGTAAAGTCACTTGTCACTACTATTTGGCAAACCACATGGACCTCAGAGCTGTCTTTCCTCTCTATGCAGCAAAGTGAATCTAGATTGTCACCAATGCTGTTCTCAGCAGGCTGGCTGCAGAAGGTGAATTTAGATTTCATTATGTTATAATACAATATGTGTAGGAAACAGACTTATGGAGGCACGTCATGGAACCTGACCCAGGTAGAAGTGCATTAGATATGATGCCAGGTCTTGGCAAGGGTAAGGAGTGAGTTTCTGTGAGTATCAGTTGGCAGACCCCTTCTTTCTTCCATGCAACAATAAAACAGGAGACTTGTTTTCATCTTCTTTACATTGTTTCCTCCTGTGGGGAAACCAGTCCAGGGTCCACTGTCTCACATCCGTTGCAGTGACTACTTGCAAAGCATCCCAGTGAATCCAGCAGTACTGTTGTATGCCTTGGCACACCATACTGCCCTGAACATGAGTTCTTGTTTCCTCCCCTGGGAGCATGGTGCATGAAGTCCCCTCATGCTAGGACCTTGCCTAGGACCCTGCTCTATTATGGTAATGGAACAGGCTGGACACATAAGTCCTCGGAAAGAGCAGCTTTGGGCTTTGTTAGTGCACACACCATTGCCAAGACTGTGATGCTGTCTACCCCCTTCCCCAAGCAAGAAGCAACTGTGCACTAGTTGCTTGGTCTTGAGCCAGGCAGGGCAGCTGAGGAGGCAGTCTACTCACCCCCGGCCTCCCATGTGAGTGAACAGAGACACGCCCGCTTGGTTTGCCTCATGGTGTGCCAGCTAATAGAGGTTACCTCTCCCGTGTAGCTTGACTGCTACTCTTTACATCACGGTGTCTATCACAACCCTCCTTTTAAACAGACATTTTCTGCAGCAGCTGAAGCATCCAGATGCTACAGTCTGTCCAGCCAGCTATGGAGACTGAGGGGCTGTATCCATGCTCACAACCTGCCTGCTGCTGCATATTCCTGCATTGCTTCCTCATTTAGGGACCCATGGGAGCAGTGTTTTGTGGATTTTCAGGCTGGTTGGTTTATGCACTTGTTGATGCCACAGTGACCCTTCTACTACAGGGACTCAACTGCCAAAGGATTTTCTGTCCCTCCGCAGAGGAGACAGGCACCTGTTTACATCATGCAAGATAAATGCTTCAGGACTCTGGATGTTTTTCAAAAACACCACTGAGTGCAGTTTGCAAGACCATGAGCCTGGGACAAGTCATTAATGCTCTGAGCTGACTAACTTCTAGCATCTGTAGTGTGTGCAGAAACGGAGGGAAGCAAAGCTTTGTTTCTGGTATGTATGACCATTTAGATTACCTCTTTCCTACTGTGGACAATCAAAAGGGAAGAATGGAATTAAATTTGTTGTAATGGACATTGACATAATGTAGATAAAGTGCTTAAAGGAATGCTGACTTCCTGAAAGGATGGGTTTCACACGTGAATATGAAACCCAACTGAAAAAAGTTATACGTAACTCCTCCTGACTGACTTTGAAAATGTACAGTCACAGCCCTAAGGCTAAAAAGTCCCCTTTACCACCCCCAACCTTCAAATTACTGCAAGAAAATACTATCAGAAAAAGAAGGGCTGGAGCAAGATCTTCGGAGCTAACACATCTCTGCTAAACCTGGAATTGCTTGCTGAAATTTACTTGAAATTAGCTGGAGGATTTCTCTGCTCTTTCGTTCATGAAAAGGACTGTGAGCTCCTGCCATGAATGAGTGACTTTAATTGACAGTACTGATCTCCTCTCTCTTCCAGCTCAATGTAGTTGCTAACATTTCAAAACAGAAAGATGCTTACCCTGCCTGAGTGGCTGCTGCCTGCCTCCAGGAGCACCACAACTGGCCGGACCTGCCACTTGTATGGCACGATGCTGGAGGGCTAGACTTTCAGGGTCCTGCTTACGCCTCCAGGGAGAGCACCTGGTACACTACACATTTTCAGAAAGATTGTGAGAGCTTTAAAAAGTTTAAATATTTGAGGCCTCAGTCAAATTGGTTTGCAACTGCACAAAGGTTTGCAACATCTGTCTATCTATTCCTTGTTCCCTCCATGACAGTGATGGTGTATTGGAAACCAGCCTGTAATACTGACTATGGAAAGGGTAGGATGAGCAAAGGAGCACTAACATGTTCAGCTGTTTGCTGTGCTGATAGGGTGAAGGTGGTCAGAATTGTTCTCCTGGATTGTTTTTTCCATGTAGATGAAAGAAATTATCTCTATATATCATGGTTTATCATACAGAATCGTCTTCATGATGAAAAAAGGGATTTGGAATATTATGTTAAAATTTTCCATGGGTCAAATCTCCAATTCTGAAAAAGCGTGTTGCAGTCAAGACAATTAGAGGGCTGTGCCTCCAGGTTTTGCTTTTATGTATTTCTAACCTCATCTCAGGGCAGGCTCCTTCAACTGCAGTGCATGGTAAAGACATGATGGGAGAAGAGGCCAATGCCATTGTAATGTCTAATGATAAAGTGTACATGCAGTGATGCTAGCTTTGAAGGCTGCACATGGTCTTTGGTTATTGCATCCTACATGGCTCTGAGAAGAACGTATCATTAGTAATTTGTAGTAACACATGGCTTCTAATTTATTGAATTCTTTTTTCTGTTTAAAACAAATGGAAAAAACTACATCTCCTTGCAGCTCATGTTGTATCAGAGATGGTGGTGCTCTTAGGAGGATACTCACTCCTCCAAAGTGTCAGAGCAAGTACTCCAACATTTAGGGAGGATGCTTAGCCAAAGACAGTCTGTTTTCATCTCTGATAGCCTGATTAAGAGGAAAAGTATGGTCCCTATATGAGCGATCAGGCTTTTTATGCTGATCGGGTGCTGTAGAGAACAGAACAGCAAGTAACTTACCACGTCAATTATCTGCAGCAAAGAAAGCTGGAGCTCTACTACAAGGGGTTGGGAGTCATTCACTACCGGTCGTTCAAGACGATTGTAGTTTCTCAGCAGTTCTCTGTACAAGCGTCTCTGGCTTTCACCCTGCTGAGAGACTAGGGGAAAAGAAAGAAGGCATCTATCATTCGGGCTGGTCACGCTGTCCCCATTGTTTGTCTGTTTTGTTGAAAAACCTCTTTTAATAGGTTTGTAATTTGAAAGCAGTTCCCCAAAAAATCCCCAAAATTCTACACGTGGGTGTGAGACAGATACAGCTTTTCTGCATATGTGACTGATGAGCTCTTAAAAAAAAATTAACCACTAACACTCTAACTCATTACTAACACTCCAAAACTACTGAACAGCCTTTGGGGCTCTGAGTAAATGTCCCCCTCCCTTGGTGCCCCTCCTGCTGATGGTCAGTGGAGATGTGGCTCCAAAACCACGAGACAGCTTCCTGGAAGGCAGTCAGAGCCCTTTTATTTGCTTGTTTTTATTTCCTAGAGACTGGCTGCTGTAAGCCAGCTCTGGTATCACTTGGACATATTGTGTGTTTACCCTGCATGAGTAAAAGGTATTCTTATTTCTTGGAGCTGATGTATCAGGCTCTTTTCTGTACGCAGGAAACAGTAACAAGCCTTCTTCATACCCTCTTCAGTTTTGTGTGGCAGTCTTTCCAAGCTTTGGGTTACTTCCCTTGCCTTTTTTCCTTCTAACGGCAGCATGCTTTATTAACTCCTAATGAGGTGGTGGTATGAATGCTAGAGTATTTGGCAGGTATGTATAATGATACTGAATTTCTGGTGTTACACACTTAACTCAGCTTCCACTGGGAACAGCCTCAACACAGAAGCTGTCATGCAAACACATAAGCATGTTAAAGACTAGCAGAATTTCAGTCTATGCTTAAATTGCAAGATGCCCCTGTTCCCCAGCTTTGGGGTGGGTGTAGAAAGCATCCATCTAGCCTGCGTGACCAGGTTTCCTTGCCACAACAATGATGGATGGGGCAGGGTAGCAGTGATGGCTTGGGTCCCTTCCCGCAGGAAGGTGAGCACTTTGCTGGGACACACTGCCCAAGAGTTTGGGTCCCCCAAAAGAGTCTAGGTGTTGGTGCTCTGGGCAGTGCCAGCCTGAGGTCTACCTAAGAGCTGCATCTAACAGAGTGGGAGTCATGGGCTGCAGGTTCTCTGAGGCCAAACAAGTCCTGTCAGCATGAGTGTGTATTCCCTGAACTTTAGAAATCCAATCCTTGGCAGGGAATCTGCACTCCAAATTATTATTACTTTGGACTGAAACGTTTTTTATCCACTGCAGCTACCAGTCTCTGTGTGTGATTTTGAGCAGAGCTTTGCACATTGAGACTAGGACTCCTCTCACAGAGGTTATGATAAATATCTTTTTGATAATGCAAACAAACCACAACAACCAGTTCTGCCTTCCCCAGCCTTTTACTGTACTCAGCAAACCTTGCAAGCCTAGAATAAGCTGCTTTCCAATACAGCAGCCGTGTCTTCTAAAGCTAATAATAAATTTAGTTTATAAAAAGTTTATAAGTCTGTTTAATTCTTGTTCTTTTCAGTTTTCCTGATATTAAAGGGACCTTTGTCGCTTTCCAGTATGGCAGTGCCTGATAAATAAGGAGGAAGAGTATTTTTGTTTATTTTGGTAAGTTACAACAACACATCATCTTCACGGGCCTTCTCTGCTCTTGCTTAATACATTACATGATCGTGGGGATCCAGAGGAGAAGATGCTATAAGCGCTGATCTCATAGCCCTTGCTGACACATCAGTACAGGATGCTATGTTTTCATCATTGGCAAAGACAAGCTCTGGCCACAGTATCTCTCCTTCACCAGCTTAAGCAAGCTTCCCTGCAAAGCAGTGATTTAGGTTCTCTGTTATGGCCTTAATACTTGCTTTCCAGCACCTCAGAAGACCCCGACTCCCTTGTAAGATCCTTCTGTGGAAAGGAAACCAATGAAAATCACTACATACTGTTCTATGGAAAGAGGTTCTGTGTTTTGAGCAAATTCGCTGTCCTTTCACTCACCTGCCCACCCCAGCCCCATGTTCCTGTGCTTTAGGGAAGAAATGACTGCCTGTCCTATTGCTCTCATCTTAAGTGCTTATGTAATATTTGCCTTTAACCTTCCTTTAAACTGGCTACCTCAGCTTTTACAAAGGAAAAGTGCCCTTCACCAGTCTCTGGAAGTCAGCTGAGCTGCTGGAGTGCCCTGGTACCATTGCTGTCATGGTGCATTAATGCAGCCCCTCTAAGGGAGGTCTGACTTGGAGAGATCTCAGCATAATTCTTTGCTGTATGCTTCGGGAAGATGTCTTTGTACTGTGTGCTCTAACCATGCTGAAGCCAGGCTCCTTTCCCTGTTAAACTTTGTAAGCCAAAGTAGCCCAGTACTGCAATTTTGCATCTAGTTTTCCATCCTTTCTTTAACTCTCCCCTTTGTAGTATGATCCTATTACTTTGCAACTTCTTGTATCCGAAATTGTTAACATAGGCTTAACTGATCTATTCTTAGCCTGCTGAATTGGCATTGCTGACCACATATTTGTGTGCTGCATGGTTTTGCTTACAAAATTACATAGATTCAGAAGCAGTGGAGCCTTTGGGGTGTCCTGGCAAATAGCCATGGCAGCTGTTGGTACCACAAAGACCTGGTTAGTCTAATCACACTGCCATCTCTCTGCTACAGCTGCTTTGGAGAAGGAACTGAAGTGGGTGACAAGTCAGACTTGTATTTTCATAGACTTTTTCTTTAAATTGTAATCTTGAAATACTTAATGTTTTACACTCCAGAGGGATTTCTGCTTTTTCCCCCTCTAATGCTTGTGCTAATGCCTTGTGACACGACATCTCTGTGTGCTAAATGGAGTGTTTGCTGGTGATGGGGAAGTCTGGATCTCTCAGGAGTAGTGGTAGAATAAGCTTTACTGCTGCCTACCTCTTAGTCACAGAAATCTAACCAAAAGCAGTGGCACTGTTTCATCTTTTAAACTAGGCTGGAAGCTGGATGTCAATATTGAAGGTTGCCAGGTCAGTCTCCCAAAAGCAGTGCCAGACTTACTTGCCTAAGTATGTCACAGGAAAGTACAAGTAACTGGCAAAGGGCATGATGCTTTCTAGATAAAGGATCTTTGAGCAACAGCGAGCCTCTTATATCCCACTGCCTCAGACAGTGTCCCCCTTATTTATGAATTATCTTTGAAGCATTAGGAAAACACACAATCTCATTAAAATTCAAGGGAAGAGCAGTGTTTAGCAAGAGTTTTGACACCATTTCCAAGAACATCCTCATAGACATTTGCCTATGCCTTTCAGGCTAGATAAGTGAACAGTGAGGTGGACTGAAAAGTCACTGAACTGTCAGGCTCAGAGGGTTGTGGTCAGCAGCATAAAGTCCAGCTGAAGGCAAGCCGGCGGTGGAGTACTCCAGGGGTGGATGCTGGGGCCAATGCTGTTTAACATTGTTATGAACGATGGGACAGAGTGCACCCTCAGCCTGTTTTCAGATGGTACAAAACCGGGAGGAGTGGCTGATACAGCACATGGCTTTGCTGCCGTTCAGAGGGACCTCGAAAAACTGGAGAAATGGCTGACAGGAACCTCATGAAGTTCAATGAAAGTAAGTACAAAGTCCTGCACCTGAGGAGAAGTAACCCCAGGCACCAGGATAGGCTGGGGGCCCACTGGCTGGAGAGCAGGTTGGCAGAAAAAGCCTGGGGATCCTTATGGATAGCAAGCTGAGCATAAACCAGCAATACACATTTGCAGCAAAGGCCACCAGCATCCTGAGCTGCATCAGGCAAAGCCTCACCAGCAGGTCAAGAGAGGTGATCCTTCCTCTCTACTCAGCACTGGTGAGACACACCTGGAATGATGGGTCCAGTTCTGGGCTCCTCAGTACAAAGGAGTCATGGTGTTACTAGACCAAGGTCTAGGTTGTCCCTAGCTTTACTCTCTGAATAATCTGAAATGGTTCCCTAAACTGCTCCTGGAGTTTACAGGTAATTTGGAGGCACAAGGCAACCAATCCCCTGGTTGTATACATGGACTACATTCAACTCTTAAATACCTCTTTGAATCTCCTCCCATGCTCCTTCGTGTACAAAGAAGTCTGCAAGAAGCCCACTGATTGATCAACACGGCCTATAAACTGCTACCAATCTCTTGGGAATACGTCCTGCAGTTGAATTTAATCTTTCTTTCTAGGATGGAATTGCTGAGAATTGCACAGCTAGGTAACCTTCCTAGGAGCTATTTCTCTATTGCAGAATGCTACCACCTCCTCTAACAGGAAATACAAGAAAATGTGGGTCCCTCCAAATGCATTACCGTGGGACCAGGGAAACCCCAGGAAGGGTGGTACTGTGTGGTATCCTCTGTGCTGGATCAGGGAGTCCTATGATGTGAAGGAAGAAACTGTAGCAAGAAAACAGAAGATGGTAATTCCCCTACAGGCTTATTTCTGAAATATATCTGAAAAGCTGTCCTTCACCTCCTTTGTTCCCCTACAACATGCTTGCCTTGAATTATTTCAGCAGGGAATAAAGCAAGTCATCTTGCTGTTGGCTTACAGTCTGAGCTCTGTCTTTCTTCCACAAGCATGATCTGCATGTGAGATTTCATCCTCTTTATGAAATGCAGACATGTCCGAGACAGGTTATGTCAAGAGACTAGGACTGAAACATAAGGTAATTGTATATTTAAAAAAAATTTGCAGAGACCTTCTCAGAGCATGCCTAGTGGTCAGCTCCTGACTGAGCATCCCTGGTGTGGGCCACATAATGGCTTGCTGTGCACAATAAGGAATAAATAAGGAAATATTAACAAGAAGGTGGGTGGAAGGACATGGATTTCCAAGAGGTTTTCAGCCATCTCTGGTTCACAGTGTTCCCTGGTTTTATTTTCATAATCTTTGAACTTTTTTCTGGGCCAGCTGCTAGAGGAATGTTTTCTAGCTGTGGCTCATTTCTTTTGGCAGAGGCCTGAGCCTTACACACAAGTAAATACTTTATTCATACAAGATTATGGGAGTTATTGGTATCTAAAAGACCAATGGTTTTCAGACCAAATATCATATTCTTCCCATATC